CCACTTATGTGTATTTACTTATAATATATACCTACATGTTTATTAGTTAAATATTACAATTTTTGAGGTTTTGAACAATAAAAASGCAAAAATTAGCATTTAAACACAATACATATGTATACATTTAGTCTATATTTAATATGTATTAGGTATTACATTTGAAGTAATATTTTTGTGATTACTTATTAGCAAATTGAGGACCAAAAATTCTAATTTAATTCAATTTTCAATGAAAAATAATATTAAATTGAACACAATAATTATTTCCCAAATAGTCACGGAAATATTTATTTGATTTATTTATTAAATTACATATTTTATACCTACATTTCATCAATTTTGGCAAAAAATTGAGTATACACAACATTTAATKTTAGATGATAATTATCTTGAATATATTGTACAACATAAAAATTAGAATAAAATGAAAGTTCTCCTTGGCTCGTATCTGAGGCCAATGAGTAAAGCGGCATCATAACTTCTAGTTTKCCTTTTCTTGATTTAATTATGACGTGTGTATCGACTGTCAAGCCTAACCTAATCAGTAGTTTTATCGAAATCGATTCGACGTTAGTGAAACGGTTGCACATCTACAAAAGAAAACAAAATAACGGTTGGATATGTAATATATTTAATCGTCAATAAAATAACGCTTGATGGTACGTAGTAGATGTCTTTGACTGCAATAAATTTCAATAATATTACGAGTATATTWGGTATAAAAACCAACCGAAGTAAAGTCTCAACTTATCTGGGAATGAATGCTTATATTATAATTGCACGTTATATTATTGTTTAGTTTAATGTATGTATAACATATTAGTATGGTTAAGTCATTTATTTAAAAAGAAAAACAACTTTGCTTTGAACAACTGAATGAGGGCATTATAGACATTATAGTTTATACTCGTAGATAGTTGTGGGTTCTAAAACTTAAAGTTCTAAAAAAATAACCGTTTGCATTTTTAGTATGAATTAGGTATACAAAAACTATACGAACCAAATATTATTATGTACATAGTAATTTATTATATTTTCATTTAAATTAGAATATAATTGTCAATGTAAGAAATATGGATATTTTAATATTGGTCGTTTTCATGACCAATACAAAGTGTTTATATACTCTATTGATATTAAAAAAGAAAAATCGTTTTTATGAATATATAAATATGTCTAAGTAAAAGAGATATTTGAAAAATCCAATTTACGTATAACTTATTAAGCAATAAGCAACGGATTTCATCTTACTAAATATATTTATTCATACATACATAAAATATATGCCCGTACGTTGTACGTTAAATTTGAAAAAAAAAGTTTTTGAGGTTTGAGTTAAGTACAGAAAATCTCATATTCAACTGCTGGCGGCGCAATTAATTATATATATGTATATACATTACGATAAAATGCATTGCAAAAACATCCTTTAGAAGCGCGACAGACCGTAAAACAATAGCGTACCTTTCTGGTATATATATACATAATACATTGCTTATCACGGCTCCAACTGTTGGTCGTAAAGTTGGAGCCGTGAGAAATGAGTACAAAGAAAGAGTACGTATAGAACGAATGTGTTTAGCACGTGGCCACCGTTTTACAAGCGCGGGCGATCGAAATATTCGAACAGAGCTGTGTATGTGTGTGTATAAAGATGAGACACAGTAGTTTACAGCAAATCAAACGCGCCTGGAAATATACGAGCTTTTAGGGTGTTTTATTTAATGTCCATATGCCTCATGTAAAAAAATCAAATATTACACAACAATCTTACAAAACAGACTACRAAATTTAAAAATTGTAATATTTGACGTTTTACCTAACACTGAGACCGAAAAATAGGAAAATAATTATGATGTAAGACTCAAAACATGAGGTTGATACTAACATAAGCATATTTAAAGATACATAAGGTAATGAGGATAGGTTCACAAAAGTATAATATCATATACATTATACATATTATATATAATCCGAGTTTTTCGTGTACTGATCTCCAATTATTTTTATTATTGAAAAATGTCTAAAAGAATAATCGAAATGATTGATTTTTGAAATGTGTCCATTAATATAGGTTACACAGTATTATATATTTTATAGACAAGTACCAACTATATATATTATCACATCGAAAAATAAATATATTCACTGGCGACAGAGTATGACACAGTAAAAATATTGTAACTGAATAGTAAGGATAACACATCTAATATAACGAGTGTTATGGAAATGCTTATCTATTTTTATCCAGGTATAGCATAATTATATATTAGGTATGTATTTATTATGTATATTAATATTAACTAGCTCATATAGCTGATAGCCAATTTTAAAATTATAATAAATAATGTTAACTTATACATAACATGTATGCTAATTAGATTTTCAAAATGTTCTAGTTTTATGTACTATAGTAGTAATTTTAGTACATCCCCTCCTAATCCCAAAATAAAATATATATTATATCTGTAAAGAATATATATAATGTTTTTGAGATAATATTTTATTTCATAACTATACAAATGCAAGTTTTTAAATCGTTCGATTCAAGTACTTATAGACTTAGTATTTAATGTTTCCGACCTATTTTGTTTTCAATAAAAATGTTTTAGATTATTGCACAAAATTCGAATCGCCTATAATGACAGTTATATCATATAATATATTTTATATTTATAAAGCCAATCACATGTATCATGGTAAACGTATACCTAGTGAAAACACTGTCGTATTATATGTACTGTATATAATATATTATTATTACAATATACAATATTATAATATATTATAACCATGGTTGTCAATGTGGCCCATAAAAGCCCCTCTCGATACACAGTACGTCAGTTGATAACAATATAGTTTTTTAGTAACCAATATAATATAATGTTAGATTTATACGATATCTGGTCAAACAAGATCCTATTATGTAACAAGCTAATAAATGTACCTATATACAGTGTTAACACAAAGTAATATCGAATATTTCAGTAATTTGTGCAATTTTAGTATTTATCAAATTTTTAAATTGTTTTGTCTCATAGGAATTAATAAAACTCGGTGAGATAATTAGTATACAAACTATTGTTTAGAAAAAATTACAAACTTCAAATATAAACTCGAACAAAGTGTATACAATTTAATTGTTTTGAATGCACAGAAAAAAAACTTAAACATTTTTCAAAAATAAGTTCTAAATACTAATAATTTAATAAATAAATTCTAAATATTAAGTTCTTTAAGAGGGTAATAAAAAAATCAAATCCTAATCAAATTTATGGGCCGCATGACCTAGATATTAAGAGATACCTAAAATAGCGAAACCCCCAGGAAATACAATTAAATAAATATGCTTCTAAATCTATTAATTCTAAAAAGTTTTAAACATTGACTGCAATTGTAGTTTTTATTTTGTTACAATGTATTMTTTGTTTAAAGCGACATGCACCTATACCTTATAAAAGCAATAATTGTTACGAACAAAAAATTTTCATTAAAACTTTTCCAAAGAATTATCGGGGACTTTTGATCTTCATCAAAAAGTATTAGTATAGAACCTCATTTGGAAGGAAAGAAAAAAAAAGATAAAATAGCTTAAATTTATTATATTTCATGACACTTTATGTTTTAAACTTTGTTTGTTTTCTGAACGTTATTTATAATAAATTAAACTCAGATGTTTAAAAATACAGTACCTAGGCATTGTTTTACTGCAAAATATTGTCTTTGCCCTTCACCATAGAATTTTTAGTGTAAAACATAATGATTTTCTTTAAAAAAAATAATTTGAAAATCCCTACCACACTCGCGTACAGACTGATATAGACAGGTTATGTTAGCAATATGGCAGAACGAACATTTTTAATTTCCTTCTGTAATTGGATTTTTCATAATGAAGTAATATATTTTATTGAAAGTCATCAGAGTTTTAAAGACAACATTTTTATTCAGTTAATTACATTCTTTACACAAATAGATGTTTTCCAAGAGTGRATTTTCGTTGGATTAAAACCACTGAAAAGGTCGAGTTAAGGCATAGGTAACGGAGTATAATGTAAAGTATACAATAAGCCAGACACGTATAAATATATAAGCTTATCTTAGAGACGAGATGTATGATGGTCAATCTTTATAGAAATGTCATTGAGTGAATATGGGAAACAAAAACGAAAAAACCACTAGCGTCGTCGTGTATATACCTATAAGGGTGTTTCAGGTTGTTGGGATCAAATTTTTTAAAATTATCTCATACAATCTGTGAAATAGGCATATATATCTTTCTAAACATTAAACTTATCGCAATAACAATTAGCCAATAGATAGATCACGATAATTTTCATCAACCTAAAAACTTGTTTTATAAGTCACTCATCTTGGTAGGTTTTAATCAAAAATATATTCCCTAAAGAGATCTTTCGTTATAACTGCTTTGATTTCGAATGAAAACTGAATGGGATGTATACCAATACCTTATTACCTTAAGTACGTTATTTCACTTGAAATTCACAAATCGTAAAATAAGTTTTCGATTCCACTCGCCGGCATGAGATCATTTACAATGTTTTTACTAACAAACCTTAAACATCCTATATGCATGGGTATAATACCTATATACATTCATGCATATTATACTTTGTTGTTTATTGCATAATACTGATATATATATATATATATTTATATATAATATGCACCATATGCGTATTCAACTTGTGGAGGGATTTTTTAAGCAATATACGTTTACCGGACCCGAAAAACGTTGGTGAGATTTTGCGGAAAGTTTTCTTATTCGTAGAGGAGGTCGGGCGCGTTCAAGCACTATAAATTGAAAAGTCTTCGCAAAGTTCTCGGTGGTAGCTTTTTTCCGCTCTAGTTTGAAAGAAAAACACGAGCGCCCGAACGCGAGGATTTAAGGTTTACGTGATAATGTGCACCAACACACGTCACACTTATGCACACGTTTACACGTACACTTAGTGAGAGAAACACAAAACAATAATACTCACGTTGTCCGTCTCGACAGCCGTGTCAGAGTGTACGCCGCCGGACGACGATGCGGAAGACGAGTGTCGTCCCAGCCCGCCGTTGAGAGTGGYGCAACCGTCGTGCACGCTTGTCTGCGGTCGACTCTGAGAACAAAATGGTAAGAGAAAAAAATTAGTTAAAATGTCGTGTAAGTCGTATAGTTGAAGTCTAAAGGTGATGGTGCTAAAATAAATTATTCAAAAGATACACGACGATTGAGAGGGAAGATGTCTTAAGACTCATGGTTTTAGGTACCTATATAGGATATCTCGAATATTAAAGGTATTCGACATAGAGCAACGCTACGGTATCAGAATTTAAAAATATACAAATAATATTATCAAGACCCATCACACTTTTATCTCCATCTTACAAATTCGTATAACATGAAATAATAATTTATGTTTAGAAATTATAATGTCTTTATTAAATAATTATATTATATTAAGAATAAATTTGCCTATTAATTATTAAACATAAAGATAACAATATATTTGTATGTAGTTTGTTGTGTGTATTTTCGAAATTGTTATTTTAACAATTAAGTTATAATAATTGCGTAAAATAAAACAATTTAAAAACGTTCATTACTCGCTTTAAGATTAAAATATCGAAAAAAATGTATCCTAAAGTTCCAACAAACCATAGATCACAATAACGTAGCAATAACCTTTATGTTTAATCTGGGTGCATTAATTACTCTAATCTATTATAAAGCTTGATCTTATAACTCACCCAATCTTGGCGCTCAGAGTTCGTTACGTTTTAAAAATAAGATGGTTTTATACAGTTTTAGAATCATTATTCATTAATAAATCGTAACTTATAATTTCTCAAGTTCGAGAGCGAGTTATGAGCATTTAAAGAATTTAATATTTCAATTGAACACCGATGTTCTATAACGTGTGTATGTTCAGATATTGAATAAGCAAATCGAGCGTAGACATCCTCTCTTCAACGATATATAATTAATTAAATCTCTCAATCATAATTTTAAGCTACTAGTATTTCGTAATTATTTAATTTCAAACAAAATAATCTTTAATTTATTACCTGAAAGTCAAATAATACTAAATTGTAAAGAGATTTTTTCTGACTACCTACGCGAAACGTGGACATTTCCTAAATACGTAAATACCTCATGGAATTAATGTTATTATTATTTTAAACCACTGTTTATCGTATTTCCGGGGCAATGCCCATGCTAAACCGGCAATAATATTATAATATAGGTTATTTTCATTTCGACTTTTGTACAATATATCGGCCAATTACGCAATGTTTGGGGTGTGGGGGAGAGGAGTTGAGCCCATTATAGCTAGTTTCGCAGCTTTCGTCGCTAGTCCGCATAATACGTTATATTATATTATTATTATACCGCACGATAACGCGGCGGTTAAGATTAAATCGCGTTCAATTATTACAGCACTCGTGAACGGGCGCGTCGACTTGCAGGAATTGTTTTTACCAATTATAAATGCCAACAGGCGATGGGCGCGCGACGACGCGGGAGCGGTGATTTAATCCAGACTTTATAAACACGCCCTTGACGGGAAAACCACCCTCCCCGGAAGCCAATGTCGAGCTATATTCATAATGTACAGGGTGATCCACCGAACACGCTCACTCTCCTTTTGTATTCTATATCTAATTTTTTTTTTTTGAAATTTTTAAAACACAGAAAAACAAGGTTTTCAAATATTTACTGCACATTTTTTCGCCATTAAAAATAGTAGCATATTGAAGCGGTACAGATTTCTTTTTTGAAAATGTTGATGCGTTTTAATCGAAATTCAAACGAGTAGCTTAAGTTTCTTTTTTTAATATTTATGTACTAAGCATATGAAGTTTGGACTTATGAATTATTAACTTTTGTTATATTTGAATATTTGATATAAAACATACACAACAACTGGTCTAGTAATTATAACTTTAATAAACTAATATCATTTTTTAACTATTACATAACCCCCATATATTATGTTCTAGGATCTATTTCATCTTGAACTATATATTCTTAATATGTAAGTTATGGTTTAAAGTCTACCTATAGGAAACTAATCGTTATGCGTTTTGGTTTATATGCATTGAAGTTTTAAATAACATCATCTGGTTAACGTTTTACTTTAGAAAAAGATGGTTCTTATTAAAAAAAAAAAAGATTTAAAAGTATGATCCTACTGCATACAGCTAATTATTTAAAACTTTTAATTTGAATAAATTCATTGCTTAAGCAAAAATTGGGGTATGAGCAATATACTTTATGACTCACACTGTATAGTGCACGGTATAAACAAAATAAGCACACGCACACGAGCGCATATTTATCTATACAGGTGAAACTCAGTGTTGAAGACATGTATATACATATACGCATGTTTAAAAGGAGTAACATTAATTAAAACTAAACAATTCAAACAGGCGCACCCACACTTACGCACTCGTATGATGTACCTATTATAGTGGTAGTGCTCGTACACCAATGCACAGAAAAGTCTGGTGATTAATGAACGGCATTTCGTTCGCAGGGTTCGCTCGCTTCCACCCACAAGTCACATATCACGGCTGTTGAACGGAATGACTTTCTTTGTGATACCTTGCGGGTGTCAGGATAAACCATCAAACCTCAGCCGAAATTCTATTTGCTTAGATATATAACACGACCCCTCGTCTAATCAGCTATTATACGTATAACATATATAGGTATATATAGGTTAACACGGTTTTCGACCGCAGAGGATAAACATAGGTTTTCCCGAAAAATCAGCCTCTTAATTATTTTGTATCACACAACAGTGTGCGTTCGACTAGCCATTGTAGGTATATAACATTATATGTCAATCGTCGAATCGATTTTTCGGGTCCTCAGGCAAAGCGAATGTAAAAATTGATAAAATTATGATGTTTATAGAGCACGTATACATTATTCTTTACAATTTTTAATTATTTTTTTTTTTTTTTTAATCAAAACGTCAAAATTAAATTAAAACAGCAGCGTTAAGAGTACACTTATATCTACTTCTATCACTTATACATAATATTTTATAGGTGAAAATATATTAAAACTACAAACGATGCGTTTGCTAAAGTATTATTCCTCTGACAATAATGTGAGCGATATTTTGATAAGCGATAAGATTTGGCTTATAAAATAGATAATTTAAAACCTAAACTAACCGCCATAATATGATTGTATTATATAGGTACACGTTTTGCAAGTATTGTACAATACATTAGAGCCAGCTGTATCATCATCGTGATGTTATAATTAACAATTTTAAGTTCATGCGGTCAAAACTGCATTCTGCTACCACATATGAATAAACAATATTTTTAAGTCCTGGTAAAATAATTACCATCAATAATTCATAGACGGAAAATCTATGTGATGTTAATAGCAGTATAAAATTCAATAAATCAATATATAAAAAAAACATAATACTAGTCTGACGGTGATGTTTTTAACGCGAATGCTCGATGCTCATTGTTCAATAAATTGTATAAAACCATCGAAACGTTATTTTTGTCGCCCGTCACGATTATATAATAAATAGATTTTCCGGCGAGTTTTCTATGTGTACGTATGTATAAATATGAAAAAAAAAACCAACAACATTATCATAATACGCGCAGCGTAGGGCTTGCGTGCGTTTATGCATCATCATCAATTCAAAAGTGATTTAAAAGTGTACACACAAATAATAATATAAAAATAAAAGGCGTTGCTATTATTGTGTAATACAGATACAATAAAGTGGACCGAGATTTTTGAACTCATTGGATTTGCCAGGCATGCCTCCACACCATTTACAACTGAAGATCTCCAATTATTTTGCTACGTAATTTGAACCCATCAAGGCTGTGCAATGGCACGCGATTAGTTATTAAAAAATTGATGAAAAACGTTATCGAAGCCAGCATTTTGAATGGTAATTTTCGCGGAGAAGATGTATTACTACTACGAATCCCTATTATCACTACAGATGTCCCAATTGAATTCAAACGGGTTCTATTTCCAATCAGATTGGCATTCGCAATGACAATCAATAAGTCTCAAGGCCAAACGATGACTGTTTGTGGCTTAGATCTGGGCACACCGTGTTTTTCACACGGACAATTATACGTGGCATGTTCTCGCGTGGGTAAACCATCCAGTTTGTTTGTGTCGGCTAAAGATGGATTTACTAAAAATACGGAACACTCCATCGCACTAAGAAACTGACAATATTTTTTTTTAATTCATATAATTTATGATAGAGATGTAATTTTGAATTTATTAGTTAAGTTATAAAAAATACAATGAATTCAAAAAAATTAATATTTGGTGTTTTGTTATTTTTATGGGCCATCGTCTTTCACAGTGCTCTATTCATATCTCAGTCATATACCAGTATACGGCATTCCCACACACTTAAAAAAATAAAAAAAATAAAACACACATCATTGTAAAATCAATACATTCATCACTTCGTTCAGAATCTAAAATAGTTTAAAATGTATATAATTTATAAAAATATATTTGTTTATGTTATCAATAAAGAACTTTGTAATTTACTCATTCATTGCAGACTATGTTCTATCCTTAATCCCGAGGGTTATTAATTATTATTAGTGACATTATATGAATATTAATTTGACATTCTCAATAGTTTACTATACGCTATGATCTCCAAAACCACTAATAAACTACAAATAAAAAAAATAAAAATATTTTCTCATAGGTACATATAATAACTAATAAGTAGTAACACTATACACTGCCTACGAAAATGCCAAAAAACAAACTAATACGCGGGCAACGCCGTGTCGGGACAGCTAGTAATAATATAAAAATAAAACGTGTTGCTATTATTGTGTAATACAGATACAATAAAGAGGACCGACGATACAATTGTATTAAATAGTTCATAATTTTTTTGTGCGTTTAAAATGTAATGTTCTATCTCAAAGGACTATAAGTCTGAACTCGGTCCCACAGTGCGGTTTTCACCATGTACTTCATAACGACCTCTTATGACAGCAAACATAAAATAATGTTTTATGATATTCTCAGATATTCGACTAGTATACGAAAAGTATATCGAAGTTACTACATGGACAACTT